CCTCAGTGTCACATACGACCTATCTTCCTCCAGTGTTACCGCTACGACCCTATCTTCCTCCAGTGTCACACTACGACCCTATCTTCCTCCAGTGTCACAACTACGACCCCTATCTTCCTCCAGTGTTACACTACGAACCCGTTATCTTCTCCAGTGTCACACTACGACCCTGTCTTCTCGGTGTGCCCCACTACGATCTTTCCTCCAGTGTACACACTACGGACTATCTTCCTCCAGTGTCACACTACGACCCTATCTTCCTCAGATGTTACATGAAGTCCTAGCCTTGCCTCAGGTGTTACACTACGCACCCTATCTTCCTCAGTGTAACACTACGACCTCTTTCTTCCTCCGTGTCACACTACGACCTTTTTCGTCCAGTGTTAACTCTACGACCCTATCTTCCTCCAGTGTGACCATACACCCTGTCTTCTCGTGTCACACTACGACTATTCTTCCTCCAGTTGTCACACTACGACTATCTTCTCCAGTGTCACACAGACCTATCTCTCCTCCAGTGTCATACACTACCAACCCTATCTTCCTCCAGTGTCACACTTACTAGCAAAAGTAGCAGACGCCTATCTTCCTCCAGTGTCACACTACGACCTATCTTCCTCAAGTGTCACACTACGACACCTATCTTCCTCCAGTGTCAGCACTACGACCTGTCTTCCTCAGTGTCACACTACGACACCAATCTTCCTCCAGTGTCACTCTACGACCCTATCTTCTCCAGTGTTACACTACGCCCTATCTTTCGCTCCTCAGTGTCACATACGACCTGTCGTCCTCCAGTGGTCACGACTACGACCCTATCTTCCTCAGTCGTCACACTACGACCTATCTTCCTCCAGTGTTCACGTAGACCCTATCTTTCCTCCAGTGTCAAACTACGACCCTATCTTCCTCCAGTGTCACACTACGACCCTATCTTCCTCCGTGTCACACTCGACCCATATTCTTCCTCCGTGTAACACTACGACCCTATCTTCCTACAGTGTCACACTACGCCCCTGTTCTTTCCTCCAGTGTCTCACTACGACCCTTTCTTCCTCCCAGTGTCACACTACGACCCTATTCTTCCTCCAGTGTTACACTACGACGCTAACTTATCGCTCAGTGTTTCACTACGAACCTGTCTTCCTCGGTGTCACTCTACGTCGATCTTTCCTCAAGTGTAAACACTACGACCCTATCTTCCTCCTGTGTAACACTACGACCCTATCTTCCTCCAGTGTCACACTAGACCCTCTGTCTTCGTCCAGTTGTCACACTACGACCCTCTTCCTCCAGCGCGTCACATACGGACCCTATCTTCCTCCAGTTTTTACCACTAGACCCTAATCTTGCCTCAGTCTCATGTCTACGACCCTGTCTTTCTCCGTGTTACAACTTACGACCCCTATCTTCCTCCATGTGTTCACACTACGCTCCCTATCTTCCTCAGTGTTACACTTACGACCCTATCTTCCTCCAGTGTCAATCTACGACCCTATCTTCCTACAGTGTCACCTACGACCACTATCTTCCTCATGTCACACTAGACCCTTATCTTCCTCCTCAGTGTCACACTACGACCCTATCTTCCTTCCAGTGTCCACTACGTCCCTATCTTCCTCCAGTGTCACACTACGACCTATCTTCCATGTGTCACACTACGGAACCTATCTTCCTCGCAGTGTCACACTACGACCCTATCTCTAGTGTCACACTACGACCTATCTTCCTCAGTGTCACACTACGACCTATCTTCTCCAGTGTCAAATTCACAACAGCGTCACCCGTAGACTTGTAGACTACGTTCTCCATTTACTCAGTAAAGTTAGAGAATATGTACCAAAGAGAGGACTTGTGATAGTGTTTCCTCTGTATACCGTTAAGGTGGTCAGGTGAATATGCGTTAAGACCAGTAGATGTTTTACCGTAGGTGGTTTGAATACTGGCCTTCTAGGCCATTAGAATGTGATACCGTAACGGTGGTTGGGTGAATACTGCTTGCTAAGATCAGTAGATGTTATACCGTAAGGTGGACTGGCGGAATATGCTTCTTAGTCCAGTAGATGTAGCACGTAAGGTGGTGCCTGGTGAATACTCGCTTCTACAAGGACCAGTATAGATGTATACCGTAAGGTGAGGTGTGGTGAATGACTTGCCTTCTAAGATCAGTAGATGTATACCGTAAGGGGTCTGGTGAATGTACTGCTTCTAGATCAGTAGATGTATAGTTAAGGTGGTTGGTGAATACTGCCTTCTAAGATCGTAGTGTATACCGTAAGGTGGTCTTGGTGAAAGACTGCTTCTAAGACCCAATAGTTGTATACCGTATGGTGTGGGTAATCTGGTGAAATACTGTTCTAAGAATCAGTAGATGTATCCGTAAGGTGGTCTGGTGATATAATGCTTGTAAGTTCAGTAGTGTGTATACCGTAGGTGGGTCAGGTGAATACTGTGTTCTAAGTCAGTAGAATGTTATACCGTGAGGGGTATGAGTGTACTGCTTTAGACTGCATGTGTTGTATACCGTAAAGGTGGTCTGGCGTGTAATTACTGCTTCTGAAGAGCAGTAGATGTATACCGGTCAGGTGGCGCTGGGAATACTGTTCTAAGAATAGTAGATTGTATACCTTAACGGTGGGTCAAGTCGACTATACTTTCTACTACAGTAGATGGTATAACGTCTTCGGTGGTCGGTTCTGTACTGCGTCTAACAGACAGAACAGGAGGATCACAGGTAAGGACCCACTAGGTGCGAGGGCAAGTGGGGACAGCTATAAGAATAGTCGGTGGAGAGGAATGTCTTGAGTACGAGAGAGAAGAGTCAGAGAATAGAACAAACAGCTAAGCACTTGGAAGCAGGACTCGGAAAACAGGCAGCAGTAAAAAACAGGACGAACACGCTAGTAGTCCAGGCTGGCACGCTAGATCTGCATCTCTGCATTCTTGGTGTTGATTGGCGGCTGGCAGAAGAGCTGGAGGCGTGGGTTAAGGCGAGGCTAGCTTCTTGATTGGTCAGGTGTCGTTAAAGTGTTGTCAGGAGTTAATCATGCTTCCGTGTTGGAGGCGAGTACTTATGCTGAGCAGGTGTTGGGAGGAAACAAGAGTAGTATTGTAAATCTTGGTAGAAATTGCTGAAAGATGTAACTTCGTTTATGCGACTCCTGACCAGAACCCACCATGAATGTCGACACTTTTTATACGAGAAATTACACGGCAGAACAGTCGAGTTTACAAATCGTAAAAAGGATTCCCATTGCTTCCTTCACAGCAATCAAGATGATCTTTGACCAGTTATACTCAGCCGACCAAGGCATTTCGACCCTCCTTGTAAGACCTCCTAAGACCAGTAGATATACACCGGAAGGTGGTCAGGTGAATGTTTCTGCTACCGCAGATAGATGTATACCGTAACGTGGTCTGGTCCATTCTGCTTTTTGTAAACCTTCTAGGCAGGTCTGCAGTCCCCAGTGTGGTTTGTATGACCGTACCCAGTGGTACTGCCAGGCCGGATAGGCTTAACTATATAACAGACTGTGTGATGAATGGTTTAGAAAGACCGTCAAGTTGAACACATCGTTTCATAGGTTAGGGAGAACTAGATTACTCAAAATCTTCTTCTGCTTACCCATTTCTACTTTGTTTGGCACTGATGAGCCACTGTGTGGCCGAAACGCTTTCTTCATAAAGATTCCATGTGTTGACTCGTATAGTTGTATCATGTTTCTTCAATGCTGCAACCTCTAGTTTGGCCAGAGATGGCCGCCTAGACAGAGTCAGATATAATTGGTACCTCCAGCCTGGAGTCAATTAATCAGACCTAGCAGTCTTTAAATATTCTAATGTTGTGACTGTGATCTGATGAGTCACAGTGTTGTGGGCGGAACGCTACTGCAATACGTTACCAAGTGTTGCAAGTGTCTAATTTATCTAGATCCAAAATGTCTTTTAGTTGTTATAACGTAAACATACAGGACGCACCAAGACAGCCGGAGCTCATGACGTTACACTCAAACTTTCGAACAGCAGTGGATATTGGAAATATGTTCACTGACTTTTTTGTGTAATCTTAGGCTCTACTCACATGCTGTTATGTATGATAAATCTCTGTAACTGTGTGTGGTACTTCCTGAGTAACCTTTACTAATATCAGTTAGTACCATGACTGTAAACAGACCGTGAACGGGGTGGGTGTTTGAAACCATGGCAAACATTGTCCTTGGAACAGTCCTGGGTGTTCATATCAACACCCGTTCACCGAGATTCATTGAGTACACAGATCTGGTCGCAGTGTTCACCATTTATAACGTTCATCGCCTAAGCTGTAACGCTTAAGATTAAAGCGACATTGACGCTCCACAAACCGCTCTAATAGTGTATAATTGTGGGTAGTTGTCGTTTCTACATGAGCGGATGCGTCTAGTTGTGGTTCATATGTTACTGCGCTCCCTCACCTCGTGTGTCTTAGTGGGACTTGTAATATGGTACGTCATAAGATTATCTACCGCACTATGTGTAGGGTTGTGTGTGTGTGACATTACGCCCACAATCTTCCTGCGCCGTGTGATACAAATTTAACTTAACCTATCGCTACAGTTATTTAGTTAGTAAGTAGATATAAATTAGTTTATTTGAGATAATTAGATTCTTAAAACACGTGTACTTGCGCCTGCTGCGCACTGATCATCTCGCAGTAAATATGTGAACTACGTTAATATCTGCTAGAAGCCATGGGATATATATGGAAGACTAAGCAGAACCCAGAAAATAGGGGAATTCAGTCGAAGATGCACAGAAATGAATAACAAAAAGGCACCAATTCCGTGACTCGCGAAACAATACACTAATAGACCTCGCACTAAAAGAGAGAAGCGTTACGACGATCGTTTCGGGTCCGACTTGGACATTGACAAGTCACACTAACAGAGGTAAGCAAGGCAAGCAAACAGTTTAGGTTAAGATCCAATGGCGGCATGAGCGGGAGACGGGACGATGAAGATTACTGCTCTGGAGAGAGTTTTTCTTAGTCAGAGAAATAGAGCAGGCTTTAACCCAGCTGCTAAGGCGTGTCGTGGCGGCAGACTTGAGAACGGGGAATAGCAGGGACTGTTGCTTTAACTTGGGGTAGTTGAAGTCTTGATCTGAGTAGCGGGCAGCAGGCTGGGTCACACAGGGGGTAAAAACACATATGGGAGTTATAGGAGTAACTGAGGGGGAGGTTAGCAATGGACCCATTTTAAAAATTTTTTTTGAAGCTGCTTTAGTAGGTGGTTAGTTTAGCCTTGTTCTGAAGGTAAAACGTAGAGGGATGAACTCAAGAACTTGGGTGAGTGTGAATTTTAAGCGGTTTTCACAGAAACTTAAAGTTCCAGCCCGGGCTTTTGTGAGTTCGTACAGGTCATGGTGTCAGTTTTAAAGGGAGAATGTAAAAGGAAAGGGTTTTTCCCATGGGGGTTTACTGGAGTGTCTTTATCTTCCTCTTCTGGAGGGGATTCACTGGGGAATCTACAAGGGTGGTAGCGGTACTGATTCGACAGGACAGCTGTGGGTGTAATGGTTTTAACAGCGGGCTGGGAGAGGTGGGGGGGCGGGGTTTGAGGAACTTGATAAAACGTTGTCAGCGGGGGAAGGTTTAAATTTTTACGGCAGTTGCTTGGGCAGGAGACAGGTCTGTAGGGCAGTAAAGTTCGACGTTGGAAGGGATTTTGAGGATGTTTTCTGAAGGGTGGATTCCGGAAAAATTGAAGGGGAGGCTGTTTTTTTAGACGGGAATAGTTTTTTAATATGGTGTTGAAAGTGCCCGGGGGTTGCTGCTTTGCAAGGTGTCAAAACCATGGGAGTACACACCTTTGGAAGGGGCACCTCGGGGGGTGGAGAGAGGGGGTTGGGGGGGCGATGGCCGTAGATTAGGTGAGAGCGAGGCGTCGTTTTTGGTTTGGTTTTTGCAGCATATTCGGTGAATTTGGGGGTCTCTTCAGAACTTTTGTTTTCTTTAAAATGATTTTTTTCCCCGAGGGGGCACTTAGCTGCAAAGGGTATGATGATTACCCTTGCAGTTAAAAACATGTTGGGGTTGAGTAATGGGGCAGGACTGAAAACGTGTCCATCATTCCCCCTTTTTTAAAAAAACTTCTTATTTTTGATGGGGGTTTCCCTTGGTGGGGTGATTATAGGAGTAGCAGGTCCGCAGTGGAGATGTATGTGAAATTCTTGTTTTATATGACTTGGGGGAATGTGGTAAATGAGATGGCCAGCCGTCAAGAGAGTTGGGGAGCCCCTGGGGTGCTGAGAATGTAATCTTTAGCATTGATGTGGCTTGGGGTCTTGGGGAAAGCTGTCTACCGAGGCCACGTTTTTGTTCCTCAATAGATGTTTCATGCTTCAGTAGAGAGGGGTGACGATATTTTCAAGTCTTTTCACAAAAACCCAAAGTTTCGACTTCAAGAATGGGACGGGGGGAAAAGTAATTGTGTGTTTTAGGGTCCTGATTGAAGAGCGTCCTTAGTTTTAGTGCTTTCCCTGTCATCTGTGAGACGACAAAGAAGGAGTCTTTCAGAGGTGATTGCCGTAAATTTGACCTCAGGCAGGTCCTAAACGACGGTAACTGAGCTAACTTCGAGGGTCATTTCTTTACCATTCACAGGTTTATTTTCACACGATTTTGACGCATTGTAAAAGGGTAACACGTTTGTAAATATAAAACACACCCCCACGGGGTCGAAGAGAGGCTTCTTGCGGTGTAGAGCAACTGTTGATCGGGCTGTCAAAAAAAAAAAAAAAAAAAAAAAAAAAAAAAAAAACGCTAACAGGGTGGGGCAGGGCGGTATATATAGGAAAAAGAGGTGGTGGTATGTATAGTATACAAAAAATTATAAAATTTGAAGGATGAAAATTAAAAAAACCAAAATCCCCCCATAACTTTTATCCGGTATATAAATAAACAAAAAACCAACCCCCCCAAATTTTAAAATTTTCCCGTATTTAGTAAAAAAGGGGATATATGGTA